TGGAAGTAGGAACCAATCCTCATTCACCTATAAGAATGACGAGCATGATTATGTTGGTGCAAAAAAAAATGTAAGAAAAGAAAAGAAAATTCAGGTTTCAAATGACAAGACAAATAGAAGTGTACCATGATAAGCTGAGATTCAGTGTCTAGCAAGGCAACAGCTTTGCCATATGGATGTTCAGCATTGTGAACTTTACAGCAGTAATAGCTGTAACATCCTCAGAATGAGCGCTGCAGCATTTGGCGCCGTATTCCAGTTTCCTTCCTCGATAGAGCTTGATCTGGTTTTTTCAAACACGCATGCCAAAAATTTGAGCTTGCTACATGAATTGAAGCTAGTGGTCATTACAGTGAACTGCGCTTGAATTATGCATGCTTACCAGTTGGTTGAAACCTTTGAGATCGAGTAGACTGCCATCAGTGCCATGACTAATTGACAAGTTGGAGTCTTTTAGGGTCCACTTATTTTCCTTGAATTCTGCAAGCTGAAATTGCTTTTTTTGGTGACTTCAATACTCCAACCAATTCTAGGGAACAGAAGCCATGCCATTCTTTGCCTTGTGCTCTCTGAGATACAGTGGAGTCATTAGTCTCATTTTGCTAGCATAATTCAGATTAGTAGTAATTGACAAAAATGTTCTTTTTTTTTTTTTACAGGTACGGAAATTTTTTCTCATCCTGCTTAACCTGGGAAATAAAACAAACTGTTCAATATATACCAGTAACTAAAGTCCCTCCACTAGTCGTAATGAACTGTAGGCTGATCTGAATGAATAGTTATATATTTCTTCATAAGAGGAACAACATCACCTCCAACTGCAACTACAGATTTCCATATTTGCATACTCAACCTCATTTGGAAGATGTAATAGAGCGACAAAGCCATAGCGGCAGTAGTGTAGACTACAATGTGTCTTACTAGTCAGCATCAAACACATTGTTTAACCTACAGTTCTACCTATCTGTTCAGTTGCAGATAAAGTATCCATTCATTTCATAATAAATGAAGAAAATTACCTTATCTGAAGACGGATAAGCTCGGTACCACAATCATATACAAAACGAGTCCAGCTGCTCATGTTCTGATCCTTGATGGAATGTGGCAGAAGACACGACTTGAGAGAGAAAGGTTCCATCCTGACCATGCTGAACACCTTCTGAGCGCTGCTTGGGACAGTAGCAGAAGCTGCAACACGAAGACTGACAGGAGGGAAGTGGCATGCCCACCATTAGTTTTCAGTTCAAACCACTTCTCGAAGGAGAGCTTAGAATCAGGCCCTATCAAATCGTGCAGTGGGAAAGAAACCTTGCCTATTGGTTCTGGTTTCTTTGATGCCTGATCAACCATTACTGCAAGAATGAGTTCTCCGGTAGGTTCACACTGTAAACAAACTCCGGTGTTCTTCCCTGTAACTGTTGAAATATCCAACCTGCCGCCGTCACTGATAAACATATCTGATTGATTTCTTGGTGAACCGTACATACACATTTTCTTTTTGTAACAGCAGACGGCAAATTCTTGATGTCCACAATTTGTAAATATAACTGCAAAGGAGGAGATGTTCAAGTCTTAATTTAGTAGAGACACTTTAGCAGAAGAATTGCTTGTTTCAGAATTTCTTAAATTATCATTTCAGTTATGTATCCAGAAACAACTGTTTAGTCATCGCTCATTAGTAGTATGACATGCATCATTTTTGAACTCACTATCAGATCAGATCATTCCAAGCTAGATATGTACTTCTTTTGTAATAACTGTTACATAAAGAAGAGAGAATCATACCTCTACAGCTGTTATATCAAGGGCATTAAGATCCTTCTGAGCTTTGCAGATGTCAGACCCCGCATCAACCTCAGTAGTTAATATCTGAGGAGTGGATGTCACAGGAGATGGCATGTTGCCACGGTACATACATCCAGCCTTCCAGTATCTTACACCAAAGGTACTCTCAAACTGTTCAGTAGTCTCGGTGAATCCAACATCGAGTTTCTTTCCTTCAGATCGATCAGCATCGGTGTCATCATGTTCCAGAACTTTTCCAAGAAGCTTCACCATGTCGCTAGTGTAGGTAACAGGATGCAGCTGGTGAGTGTGCCACAAGAGATCCACGTCGTGAGGTCGGGTTTTACAGGAAGTTGCCAGTAATCCTTTTTCTTGATTCATCTTGATCAGGTACAGAAATGCCTTGTATCGAGCTAGAGCTTCTTGGAGAAACCGTGGATCATGCATTGTTGGTGTTCAACCTGCCAGAAAGTGAAACTTTCTGATTTTCTGTACATATCATCATTTTATCTATTGTAAGGACCACTAATGGAAAAAATCAATAGCTGTCACCTGCACTAACTAGGTCAATTAATCTAGGTGGACATCTGTAGTGTGTTGTTCAAAAATAATGGTTGGCCTTTCAGTGTACAATGATATAAAGTATAACTTAAAATTGTAAAATTTACTATTTATAAGTCAAACGATAATTTTGTATCACATAGGTATGCAGCATATATACTGGAACAAAGATTGTACAAGTACCTGATAATAGAAAGAGGATTGTCTCTTAACAGCAGAGACCAGATCATAGGTGATGTCCTCTGCAGCTCCAAGGTTCACATCCATGGCAATGTCAGAGGTTCTTGTGAACGCCAATTCAAAGGCTCCTCAGGATACAACTCTTTTCCAAATCTTTTCTGACTGAAGTGTTGATTTTGTTTGAGTGGGACGACTCAACATTGTTATTGTTCAGTATTCTACCATATACTTTCTTGCAGTCCCTTATGTACTGAACCTGAAAGATGTGTGCTTGAATAATTTGTTACCTCAGTTCTGTGAATAGCATCATCAACAAGAGTACAGGCATACAAGCTGTTTTCTTATAAATCATTTCCATGTAGAGTCATAATATATATCAGTGTCTGGTGCAGTGTTCAGATCATTCATAGCACAGGAAGGGCATGTGAATTACAGAGGATCATCGTAGTAAGGATGTGTGCAGGTTAAGCCGATGGCAGTGCCAAATCCACTCACAATCGAGAGGAACAACCAATGGCCCATCTACAACCGCAGCCTTACTGTGCTTATCAAGAAGGGGAAGCCAGCATGCTTTGTACCTAGCATATAGCAACAAAACCAAACAAAAAAAAGTCAATGGGTATTATATCTCAGGACATGAATGAGATCACAATCTTTCTGTATTGGAAAGTTCAGGAGTGTATCCCAGCACAAGAAAAAATTAATCATGGAACCATCAGTAATTCAACATGACAGTGACTTCTTAGGTGACATGCACATCATTTCAAGTAAATATCTCCTGGTAAGGCAAAAATAGAAAGACTATTCACGCAATTGGTTCAAGCCTTCTGCTGAATTCTGCCCCCAAACTGAAGTTCAGGCACCTGCCTCCTGCAGCCCTTAGTCCCTTACTTTCCACTATCCAACTAGAGATTTCTTCGATTGATTTTCATCTAGATGGTTGCTTTACAGAAATAAAGAGGAATTTGCAGTCAAGATTAATGTACCAGCATTTTCAATCTCATGAGTTTCTAAAGATTCACTAAATGGATCATGCTCCGGAGCCGGCAAAGATGAACAGTCGACGACCAATCATGAAGCAAGCACTAAAACGTCCCTTGCTTTCTCCAAGAGCCAAACAGCTGAGCCAAGGGGAAGAAAAACAAAGAACCTTTTTTCGCAAAAATAATCATCCGTACCTGCGTATGGCCCTGTCGAGCAGCGGGCCTCGTCGTAGAGCCAGCGGCGGCGGTCCGCCGCCGCGAGGAACTGCAGCTGCCGCAGCGCGGCCGCGACAAGGTCCGCCCCGACGGGGACCCCCTCCTGAGCCGCCGCCCACCGCGCCGCCTGCTCCCCGTCCATCTCCTCCTCCCCTCGCCGCCTGCGGAACCTGTCACCACAAGGTCAGACGGCAGGGTGGCTATTCGCGAGGCGCGATCAGGGCGGACCAACGGGTGGTTGATTTGTTGCTTCCGCACTGCGGCGGCAAGAAAGAATCCGCGACACGGTTTCTTGCTCGGGACCGTTTGACTTTGGTATTTCAGAGGTGAAAAAAGGTTGGATTTTTTTATACGGAGTATGAACAGTGCGTCTCTCTCTATCTGTCTCGGATTTGATTTTTTGAAAACAGTAACATCTGTTTTTTTTTTTCACAAACGGAAGAGGACTTAACGCCTGAGATATCCATGGCCACCGGCCGGGTTGGTTGCACCTAACGCCCCTCCTCACTCGGCAGAAGCAGTACGGTCGTACAAGCACCGTGTAGTACAGAAAATCAGAAACCCTGGCTCGTCGTACAACTGCGTACTGTATATAGCGCAATTAGGGCCTGTTTAGTTCCACCAAATTCTAATTTTGCAGACTATATATCAAGATTTTCCGATTCAGCTATATCAATTTACTTGTACATGCATGGGGTAAATGTTGATTTAAATCAAAAACTAATTGCACAGTTCTATTTGACTTTTTACGAGATTTAACGTTTTGAGTCCTAATTAGTCAATGTTTGAACAATTATTACCAAATAAAACAAAAATATACTGTACCTCCACAGTACCTTCATCAATTCCGGCGGCGCCGAATCAGGCACCAACTAAACGTGGCCCAGGCAACAAAGTCAGCTGCTCTGGCTGCTGGCCAACACATCAGAGTTTGAACGTAACACGAGGAGTACTTTGCAGATGATCAAGCGTCAGTTGGGCCAAATTCTAAGTTTTTTTCACTCTCTCCATCACATCAATTTTAATAAATTGTATTTTGAGATTAAATATAGATAAAAAAAAATAATAATTACAGCTTAGCTTGGAAATCACGAGTATGAATCTTTTGAGCTCTAATGGTCTAATGATCGGACAATATTTACCAAATAAAGATTTAAACAGATTATTCATCGTTTCATTTTTTTACAATCTAAACAAGGCTTGCTACATTACATGGTACAGAAAAATTGTCACAATGGCAGGCACTGAACCCTGTGGTGTTCGATGCATGCTCGCTCAGTCTTGCGAGCCTCCTGACTGGAGAAGGAAGAAGACGGCGAGGCCGACGACGAGCCCCGACACGACGAGCGCCAGCGTCGGCGCCGGAGAAGCCACGCCCAAGTTCTGCACCCACCAAATTAAAGGCGATCGAGCGGCACTTTTCATGTTAGCATTGCAATTGTAATGACCGCGCGGACTGCTGCTGCTGCTGTCAGTGTTACTCGTATCGTACCTGGAGGAAGCCTTTGCCGGTGGCCACCTCGACGGCGATCGCGGAGGCGAAGCCAACCATGGCTGCGCGGCCCAGCCATACGTCCGGTCCGCCGCCGCCGCTGCTGCCCTGCCTCGCACTCTGCTTCGCACCTGATGGACAGAGACCTGCTGGTTAGGCCCCTGCAGGCGACGCGGCTCTTGCTGGAGGTGACGCGCAGTGCAGATGCTGCATTCGACACAGTGCTTCCTCAGAACACACGAGTAAGTATAGGACAGCCAACATTCAGTAGCCATGCTCATCGTCCATAATGTTAGCCTTGATATAGGAATTCAAAGAACACATTTTCTTATCGAAAATCTCAAGAATCAACAAATGAACAAACAATGACCGAGTAACGAGATCTAAAAAACCCACGACTGTACAACTAGGACCACTGAATGCCCTCATCATAATCCGCCATGAGCACACAGCACTGGCATCGGACATGGACATGCACAGAGACTAACGACAGAAAGCTTGAACTGAACTCTGCAGCTAGCTAGATTCACATTCACGATGCTGCACAAGATGGACTGGAATAATGCAGATCGACCTGCTGACACGTACCGTGGCTGGACATGCCGCTGAACGATGGCGCCGCGGCGGCGGCGGCCACCACCGGAGACGAGCGGAGGACGGAGAAGGGCGCCATGAGACCTGACTGCTTGCACGCTTCTTCCTCCTCCTCCTCCTCCTCTGGTCTTCAATGAATCCTCAGCTCGTCGTCGTGCTCGCGTGTTTTTGTCTGCAAGGGTGGGTGGAAGCGCAGGAGCCAGGCGAAGTGAGGCCGTCGGCTGGCTGACGTGGCAGTCTGGAAGAACTGCAAGACACCCTTATCCGAGAAAATTCCCCATTGCTTTACGTGGTGGGCTGGAGGAGCTGTCCATGTAGCTTGCTCGGCCCGCCTTGAACAGGCCCGTTTGGAAACCGAGACTGGGCCCAAGGATCGTAAACAAGCGCAGATGATCACGGTGTTACGCCTGAAAACCGAGACTGCACCTGACGATGGTGATGGCGGGAGCACGAGCAAGCCGGATGGGCCGTCCGCGTCCAGACCACGTCACGCAAGGAAGGCCAACCCGAAGACGTCCGGCCCATCCTGGGTCCAGTCCATCCAGTCCATCCATCGTGGTGGGCTTTTTTTGTGATTTTTTCTTGGTTTGAAATCAAAACTCGTAGTCCGGCCACCGGTAGATCTAGAAATCATTTAGAACCTGGGTGCTCTTCATTTGCCTATGCTTACTCACTATGTTCACCTTTTGACACAAAAGGTTTCACGTTGTGCTGCGATGTATATATGGAAGCGGTGAAGAATAGGCAGCAGAGTTGCATTATAGGCTAGATGTTTGGATGAATCTCCATCCTGGTCCCTTCTCACGGTCATTTTCTGAAGCTATTTTTATTCACTGTTACACTGTATATATAAGTTTAGTTTTGTCCTAGTTGAAAACTTCGTTTTCTATCAATATAAAATCAGTGCTATAGATACGATCTACGACCAGTAGTAACGACGCCAATTTCAACGAAGTCCATTCCTGGTCAGTTAACAATAACTGCAAGCGTCCGGTCAGAAAATTAAAAGAAAAAGAAAGTATTTTTCCTTGTTCACTGCGACAAATTTTATTTTAAATATAATTTGTCACTGGAATGACAGAGGAATCTTGAATGGTTATCAGGGGATCACTGTCAGGCTGCCAATTCCTTTCTGCGCTAGTCCAACTCGTGCTTCGGGACAAATGGGTGAGCCCCAATGAGTACCTACCAACCCGCTACATTTTTCCACAAATGTGATGACCAACGAGCATACTTCGCCCACGACCCAGCGCATCGGCTGCTCCCCGGTGCCACCGACAGCAACGATGGCGACGAATTCACCTGCGGCGGCTGCCTGGTCGCCGGCGCCGGCCCACGGTACCGGTGCGCGCACCCGGGGTGCGGCTTCACGATCCACGAGGCGTGCGCGCCGCGTCGGTTCCCGAGGACGCTCAAGTCCGCCGTGCACCCGCAGCACAGGCTGAGGCGGCGCGAGGCCGCCACGGGCGAAGGCGAAGGCGCCGCGTGCGGGGTCGCCGTGCACCCGCTGTGCGCGCGGATGCCGGCGTCGGCCCGTGGCCCCGCGCACCCGGGCGGCGGACACGAGGCGTGGCTGGTCCGTGTTGCGTCGCCGCCGGCGACGGCGCCGGAGCTGGACGGGGACGGCGAGCCGAAGCAGGGGAAGCATGCGGCGGCGTCGGCGGGGTGTGAGGCCTGTGGGCGGCCCCTGGGCGCGTGGCGGTACCGGTCACCCGCGGTGCCTGGTGCCGGCCGGCGGCGGAGCAGTGCCGCGGCGCAGGAGAGGGAGAGGGCGACGGCGGGCGCGCGGAGTCCGTGGCGAGGAGCTGCAGCTGCGGGCTGCTGCCTGACCTCACGCGCTGGGCACCGCACTCAACTACCGTGGCTACTACAATGGTTGACGCATCCCTGTATGTACGTGCGTCGTGATGTATGCTCATACTGTATACGTATGCGGGAAGTTTAGAAATTATGCGCAAATTTGAAACTGACGAACATGTTATGATACCTGAAAAAATCGTGTAAAATGACGTCGAAAATTTGTTGAGCAAATTCCTTCATTGCCACCGAAATATATAACATTTTCTTCATTGCCATCGAAAATTATATGTTTCCTTCACTGCCATCCATTCTCAATTTTAAATCCTTTCCCTGTCATTGCAGGACAACACAGACTTCGTTCACTTGATCGCCATTCATACATATATTTTTTCCCTCCATTGCCACTGAGATAACGGAACGGCGACGTAAGTGCTGTACCAATTTTACCCTCTTCTTCCTGAGGATGAAAACAGAGACCACGAGTGGTCTGCTCCCTCGTCCCAAATCTTCTCGAGCTAGAACCCTAGATCCCCTCCGACCCTGCCCGACGCGACGCCCGCCTCTGACACCGCCCGACGCGGCGGCCCTGTCCGTGACGGGTGAGGCTCTGGGTGCCAGGCGGCGGCCGCTCTAGCTTCTGGGTCCGCCGTCCCCACCGCAGCGGGTGCCGGCTTCCAGGTGGGCGCTCTGGGCGCGCCATTCGTCGTGCAGCACGCAGGCGCTGGCCACCGGGCCGCCTGGGGCGCGGCGCTCCAGCCTCCACGGGCCACGCCTCCACCTCCATGGACCTCGTTTCCCTCCGCTAGCAGGCGGTGCGCCAGTGCTAGAGATCCACTATCCAGTAAGTAGCACACAGCGCGGCAGCAGGCAGGAACACAGAAGGCCGGCGTCGTGCGCTACTCCTAGGTCCTAGGCTCCTCCCCTTCTTCACCGAGCAGTACCAGTCAGGCCAACAAGCACGGCTAACGGTCAGTACATAGTATTCAGATTTCCTAGTTCAAACTAAACTACTGAAGTGTGTGTCGATTTGTTCCCTAATTAGAAGTTGCAACTCAAATGCCTGCTGGTCCTTTGTAGATATAGCATTGATGTCAAATTACAATGTCAGCACTTATTGGATTTGGTGAAGCATAAATGGTTTGTTGCTTGCTGCTGCCAAAAGTCAACTTTGTGCTTGTACGGTTGGATGCTCGCTCTATGCTACACCTTACTATTTTACTTGTTTTTCACACAGCTGATGCTTGTAGCGTCTGGTTATCCTTTATTTACTACTGGTATCCTAGGAATTCTAGAATATATAACGTGGAGTAAAAGCAAATGATGCTTGTAACCCTCTGAAATTATTATGAGTTCCATGTTTGGGTTGTGATGTTAATGCTACCTTTTTTAAACTGAGTTATATGTGTTACTTCACCAAGAATCTCTTGTAATTTGGTACGCATTTTGAATGTTGGATGGATGAAATACGTTGATTCTTTTGCTGCTTTTACTATTGCAGTGTTTTTATTAACTGTGCAACTTTTTACCTAGCTGTGATGACATTTTCTCTTTAAAGATAATTGTGCGTGCGTATCTGTCAATTTATAATTCTCACACAGAAGAGCAAGCAGTTGAGACAAATCAACTACTGACGCGACGCCCTCTGGATATGGATTGAGGAGACAAGAGGGACGCATGGGAATGCCGGGGCAAGTCCCGACACATCTTGGCTTCCTGCAGGTAAGTGCGCCATTATGCTGTTTTTAGTTCTTCACATTTAAGTACATACGACTACACTTTATTGTGTTTGCATAGTTTTGCATTCATAGGATGGACCCTAAGTCCACTTACCTACTGAAAATCAGACTCGCTGGAAATCCTAAAAAGCGTAGGAAAGAATTTTCATGCTTTCATATCACCAAGGTTGTCGATTCTGATCTATGCAACTTTAAGGATCTTGTGGAAACAATTGTGGATGCATACCCTCATAGCTATATTGAAATAGTATCTGTTTTTTACTATGATGAGGTCCAAAAGAATTTCCCACAAGTCACAACAGATCAAGAGCTTCTTGCAATGTTCAACAAACATGTTGATAGCAAGGAAGTTCGCATGACGATTACTTACAGTGAGCCCACGGATGTTGTTTCTATCCCTGAGAGTTATACTCAACAAAATGCAGAGGTGCTTGATATCCCAAGCACTCCATCTATGCCTGACAAATCTCAATGGCCACAATCTGACCATGGTTACTTTATGCATCCACCACTTATAAAATCTACATCTGGTAGAAGGCAGAACAAGAGAGCCAAAGGATGTACAGAGGCTAATGGCAGCACAACAAAGAAGAAAGGTCACATCAATGCCCCATTTGCAAGGATTATGGACACCGCTGGTATAAGCGCAAGGATGGTGACCCTAAGGATATAGCAGCTATGCTAGCTGAGAAGTAAGCATTCTAATCTTTACTTAGTTTGACTTGTTATTGATTTCATATTGCTTCCTTTTGAGATCTCATTGATGTTTATGTTCATGCAGGGGGCCACCAAAAAGAAGGAAGAAAACAAACTGAATGTGATAGTAGCATTGTCCCAGCTGACCCAGGACCCAAAACAATGCATTTTCCTCCTAGGTATGTCTCCATATACTTAGAGATCTGAAATTTTAATTCTGATTATTTTTCTAAAAATGCATTTCATTTTTGTATTACAATAAAATGCCTCGCTTATCTTAGATTCTGGAAACTCTCTCAAGTATGTGCCCAATATCTAATGTCATTTGTTCTTAATTATAGCATTCTCAATATTATTTTCTAAAAGTGTAAAACTCACTCACATGCAGGTCTGGTAGTGGCTCAAACCAACCTGAGACACTTTCCATTGAGTACCCTTTGTTCACTTTAGGTGAAACCACACCGCCAGCTGCCACATCCATGCCTATAGTAGAGAAAAAGGGTAAAAGGAAGGCAAAGGCACAAGGGAAAAAAGAAGCAGCAGCAAGTTACAGCATCAACAGATAGTCCAGTAATGGGGACTTGAAGCAAGAACCCTCTAAAGCAAAGCCCTGCTGCATACACTAGAAGCAAGAAAACTTCTAGATTTGAATTTGTAGTTCAAGCAACTCATTTGTATGGTCTCAGCAATGTCGTGCAACCCTCTTATTTTGCTTGATATATAAACTTATGGCTGCTTATTTTGCTTAGCAAGTATGAGCTTAGTTGAGAATTAAATGGACAACAATGGCTGCTTGAACCTGTTATTTTGTTTGGTCTGTAATCCAATGAATTGCTAGTTTGGTTAGTAAACATTTGAACTAATGAATATCAATATATTATACGGATGTTGTGAACCATATTAAGTACTCTATGAATATAATATTGTTGTCATATTTCTATGCATGTGTTGAAATGTTATCATTTTTGTCCTTTGTATATTGTTGACAGGTCTCCAATTGATCTCATTGATGTTCTAAAGTTCAATGGCAACCAAGGGGATTGTTATAGAGAAAATTTCTAAGGGTAAGATTGTCTTTCACATACTCATCTAATAACAATCTCCCTGCATTGGACGGCAACAGCAGTGAAGGGATTTAAAATTTAGAATGGATGATAGTGAATGGAACATATAATTTTAAATGGCAGTGAAGAGAGTGTTATATGTTTTAGTGGCGATGAAGGAATTTGCTCAAATTTGTTCCGGTGGCGTCGGAAAGACCATCTCTGTTCGCTGGACTCTGGCTCCGGAAGAACTGGAGCAGGCAGGCAGGAGTGGCAGAGACAGAGGGCAGGCATTGCTCCTTCGCTGAATTCTTCTGGCCCTCGGGTCCATGAGATTCTCAGTTAGGCTGTAATGACTGCCAGAACGTCATACAATTTTTCCTTCATCCAAACTTGTTTAACTCCCCGATTTCAGTTCATGTTGCAGCTCGCAAGAAAAAGAGTGTTTTACAGAGAAGCAAAAAAAGGTTTCGTCAGAGGAAAAAAAAACAAGTTCCTATATGAAAGAACCTTTCATGGAGAAAGGGGAAAAATTGTCCCATAAGACTATAAGAGAGAAACGAAGATGTTCCAGTTTAGAGAAAAAGAGTAACAAATAAGTGGTAAAATTCCTATTTCAAAAGCAAAAAAATGTATAAAGAAGGGAAAAATCATCAATGGAAAAAGACCACTTTGTAAAGGAAAACATGTTGATAAAAGCATAGAAATAGCTAATATTGCGAAATATGTCTCAAATTGACGAGGAATTTATTCAAACTTAAATAAAAAAAGTACTCCAGCTTGGGGAGGAAGTTGTTCTAGCTTTAAAATGAAAGCATTTATTAGTACTAGCAAAATATGCCCGTGCGTTGCAACGGGAGGAAAAAAAACTACCCCAAACATTGCAAAGTATAAAAATATTTAGACACAAGTATATGATAGCTTTAATTTTCATACTATTCATATGGTGCTACACTTAAATATTGAGCTCAGTGACATTCTTTGAGATCCATAAAAATGTGTAAATCCTCGTATCTGATTAAAGTCGGATTGAGCCGCCACATCTGAAAATCAAGTCTCATGCTAGTTTTGGATTACAATAGCTTTAGACGGTCTAATATAGAATCTATATATAGATTGAAAACGTGTGAAGCAAAATATGAAACGATCTGGTGCTAAGCAAGTTAAAATATTGAACCCTAGTCTTAATGTGTAGGTAGCGGATTTGAATTCCTCATTTTACATTGTACTCACTCGGTCTAGAAAAGAATGTAACTACGGGCTGCGTACCAGAAAAAATAGTTCATGTTTGACTGGTTTCTAATAAATAGTATTCATATTTATGGCTCCAAATCAATTTTTATGAAAGTACATTTCATAATTAATCCAATAATATTTATTTGATATCATAATATTGATACATTTTTATCTATAATTAGTCAATCTCGAGATACTAAAAACGTGACCTACAATTGCATTCTTTATACGGAGGTAGCACGGCACTAAATTTCACGTTCGCAGGCGATCTGACAGCTCATCTTCTGCACCGCATACTTTCCTTCCCCTATAGTTGTTTTACTCCTTTCTCATCTCCTACCATGACTACTCAGCCTGTGCCGTCCAGCTCCGAGCTTAGCATGGCCTTGTGGCGTGGGTAAGGGCCCCTGCTCCTCGCCATGGCTGGCGCTATG